CTCAATCGAAGCGTGGAGGTCTATGGCCGCAGACAGCGGGAAGAGGAGCCCGGCAGCATAAACTGTCGTGTCCGCGGTCAATCACGGCGGCCAAAAAAAGAATTTTAGAACAAAACTCCCTCGCACGACATGTAACAAGGGACCGGCAGGTGGCGGCGTCGCAGGACGAGGCAGAAGAGAACAACGCGACAGAGGAGGAAGTGACAAGGGAGAGAACGACGAGGGTGGGACGACCGCGAGGTGGCATGAAGGTTGCAGCGAGAATCGGCGAGAGACTGCGAAGAGAGATAGGAAGAGGCAGACTCCCTAGGGTGGGCGACGGATAGCGCACCACACACCTCTCCTTAAAATCCCTGTGTGGTGGCGGCGTGCCGTCCTCCCATCCCTCCCTTGGGTTGTCTGTTTTCTTTCTTTCTTTCTTTTAGACCGGAAGGAGGACGGGGAAGATGACTCAGAGGAGGACGAACCAGTGGAAATTCAGTTGTCAGATGTCACGATGCATCCGAAGGGGACTCCAGCGCCGGCATCATCCGTAGAGGCACGAGTGTTCGAAGAGAGAGTGGACCTGAGCAACAACATGACCTGTAGGTAAATGCTCGGAGTGGGAGTCAGAAATGTGGTCCTTGCGCGATGGGGTCCTTGTGGCGGGCCACCCTGTCCAGAGAGGCATGGATACGTTGTAGTCTCGCACATGCTTTAACAACGACGCAACGCTCTCTCTCTCACACACAGGACACACAGCCACAGTTTTTATAATTTATTTATTCACAAAAATATAAGGGTGTATCACGCAGAATTCTTTTTCTCAGACTCACGCTCCGGCGGTGTTGGTGAAGAGCTGACGCGGCGGCGGCACAGCACAGGGTATGTCGGCTCGCCGCGCTCAGCAGGCGGCCAAGGCCAGCGCCGACTGGGACTGGGAGGGCGACGACGAGGAGTGGGGCGACGCGTGGTCGGACAGCCCCGCCGCCAAGCCCTCCCGCGGCCGGCCGCTCCTCTCGTCGCTGGCAAACCGAGGAGGAGGAGGCGGAGGCGGCGCCCCGTCGGCTCGGCCGCCACCCGCGGCGCGGCGCCGCTCGACGACGCGCTTCGTCGTCTGCGCCTTTGCGCTCGCCCTCCTCCTCCTCCACATCCAGACCCGGATGAGCCGTGTGGCGACGCACCAGGCGTGCCTCTGCCGCCGCCGCCGCCCGCCTCCCGCGATGCAGTCTCCGCCTCCGCCGCCCCACCGAGCCGCACACACGCTGTCCGCCCGCCCAGCCCTCTCCTCGACTCAACGGCACCACTCCTCCCCCACACGAGGCTTTGGCACTGGGTAGCTTTGGCGCTGGGGACACCAGCCCTCCCTGTCCCCGGAACCTCTTTGCGCCTCTCTTCAGGCGACGGCGGCGGTGGCGCCGGCTGCGTCGGCGGGCGGGACAGGCACCGCTGGCGCCCCAGGCGCCCGTGGCGTGCGGCAC